GATTCGCTGCGAAGTCGACGATCTGGACTACGGGCGTGAAGTCGCCGGGCTCCATTTCCCGCGTGAGCATGGCCTCGATCGAGCAAACATCGAGGTGCGCCATCGGCTGCGTGGCAACGCTCGTGCCGAATGGGCCGAAGTCATCGTGTATCGTCGAGATGCACGCCATCCGGCCGTTTCGCACCGTCGCGACGGCGCAAACGCCCNCCGCCCACGAGGACGCGATCCGACCCACGCGGAACCGCTCGGCGCAGTTCGGGTCGAAGGCTGGCTCCGAGTAGACGGCGTCGTTTCCGACGGTGACCGCATCGATAGTTTTGTCTTTCGCGCCTTTGTGGTCCTCGAGGCGCGTGACCAAGGGCATGCGGCACGTTTGCGAGTGTAAAACAAGAAAGGTTCCGCGAGGAACTGTGATCGTCGACATGTCGAAGCATTTGTCCTCGAAACAAACGGAGGCCTCGCTTGGCGACTCGCTTCCGAATTGCCACAGTCGAGCATACTGGCTTCCTCGGTCTCGAAAGATGACAAAGCCGAGCTCGGCCACGACTGTAACTTTGACAGGCGATCCGCGCGTGAGTTTCTTGGACCATTTCCAGCGTCGGCACGGACGCTGCAGTGGACCGGTCTCGCGGGGCGCGGCGGCGTCGGGAAGCGGGTCCGCATCGCGGGGCGCGGAGGCGCCCGCTTGCTTCTTCTTGCCGCCGCGGCGAGTTTTCTTCTTTTTCTTGGCCGCCGCGTCATCTCCCACGTTCTTCGGCGCCGGGAGCTCAGTTTGCGCCTCCAGCTGCGCTTTCTCTACAATCAACCGATCGCCGTTGCCAAAGCCCAGGGGCTGCGAGAAGAGGTCGACAAGGCGCGCGACGCCCGCCGGGATATTCGCCGACACGAACGCCAAGACCGCCTCGGGCGCGTGCTTGCGCTGGAGCGTGCGGCGAAATCGTAAACTCGCCTCCTTGGCGCGCGGCACCTTGCTGAGCTCCATCTGGAGCTGCAACGCGACCGCGCCCGAGACCGCGCCGCGGTACGCGTCGTGGCCCTCGACCGTCGCCGCGAGCTCGACCTGCTCCGCGTAGTTCTCGCTCGGCCGCACGAGGTGCCAGAGCACGAGGAGCCCGAGCAGCGCCCGCTCGAATGTTGCCCTCTGCTCCGGGTCGTACGCGCGCCAGTCGAGCTTGACGTCATGGAGGAGCGCGACGGGCAGCCGGCCGAGCGCGTCGAGCAGGGGCCGCGTGTCGAAGGTCTCGCCGAAGAGGGTGCAGGACGGCTTGTTGCCAAAGGCCGCCTGGTTGAGCACGGCGAGCAGGACTAGGACGACGGACGGCAGGCACACGTGGACCATGGAGCTCTCGCTGGGCGCCGCGGGCGCCGCGAGGCCCACGAGGCCGAGCACGAGCTTGCGCCGCGCGGCCGGCGCGTCCGCGCACTTGGCCGCGATCGTGAGGAGCTCGGGGAGTTTCCGCAGCTTCAACAACGACAGGATGCCCGAGTGGAGGGGCTGGTCCATGTCCGGGTGCCGCGCCGTCGGGAAGCCCGCGTGGTTTTTGTAGAGGATCGCCCAGCTGCTGCTGCGTGCCGCGTGGTTCGTCGCGATAGTGAGGACGTCGAAGACCTTCGACAGGACCTCCTCGTCGTCGACGTCGCCACGCGCGGGCCAGGGGAAGAGGCCGAGCGCGACGCCGACCTCGAGGAACGCGCTCTCGCCGACGCAGTAGACGCTCGCGAGGGCCGTGCCCGACACCGTGAGCCGCTTCCAGCAGTCGAGCTCGTAGATGAACTCGCCGCGCATGACCCGCTCCTTGGCCATGGTCGCCCAGCAGCCGTGCTGGAGCTTGGTCCACTGCGTCCGCGGGACCTTCTTGCGCCGGTCGTCGAGCCAGACCGTCACGGCGACGCGCTCGGGCGGCGACGGACCCAGGAGCGCGCCGAGGTGGTCGTCGTAGTCGATATCGCGCTCCGGCCCGCCGTCGACGGCGATGCGGATGGACCGCGCCTCTTCGACCTCGCAGACGACGTCGTCGCACAGATGGTCGTAGATCTTCTCGGAGATCTCGCCGCCCGCGTGGAGCCGGTGGATCGTCGGCTCGATGCCCTGTCCGACCCATTGCGCGATGACCTGGGGGAGCTTCATGCGCACGACGACGTCGAACTTGAGCAGGTCCTTTTTGTCGTCGCCGTGCAAGATCGCGACGTCGAGGCGCGTCCCCGCGCGGAGCGTCGAGCCGGGGAAGTCGGCGACGACGCACGCGAAGGGCGGATCGCCGATGCGCGCCAGCTCGCTGCGCTGCGTGAGGAAGGCGACGGACACGCTCGCGGGGTCCTCGATGAGTTGCGTCTCGCCGACGAACTGGCCGTCGACGAGGTGCGCAAAGTGCGTGTGGTAATCCTCCGCGTGCTCGGGCCGGCCCTGGCAGAAGGAGACGGACGCGCCCTCCGCATCGAGCGCGCCGGGCATCTCCAACACGTCCTCGACGGCGTCCTTGACGGAGGCGTGGTTGTCGGCCGCGGGGCACCGGAGGACGTCCCAGAGCGGGCCGCGCGCGTCCTTGGCGAGCACGAGGAACGTGCCGAGGTCGTCCGCGGGCGCCAGGTCCCGCCGGAAGCGCTCGCCGAACTCGTCGGAGAGCACGGCGATGACGATGGGCTCGCCCTCCGGCG